ATAATGAAGGGGTTTCTGTCCCGACAGCATGTATTTTAATTGGTGGAAATAAGCCATAGTTTATAAGCTGGCAGGGAGCTTAAGCTGAATAAATTTCAATAGATCCAATAGAGTCAGGCCTGTGAATGCTCCTGGCAGCCTTTGGGGTTAATGACTGTGTGAGATTAAATGAAAATAGTCTAGTGCCTCTACAAATAAAAAAGCCCTAAACCAAGAGGAGGAGTCAGAGGACCTTCCAGGAATTAATGTCTCATTCTGAAATCCTTACTACAAAACAGGACTATTTTTCCCTCTTTTTATTCATGTTGGAAGCTCCATTTGCATTTATGTTAAAGGGTATGAGCATGCTTGGAACAACTGCCGCCCAACTATGCATATGGTGAAAGTGATCATCACCATTACCTTTCCTGCAGCAGCAGTGAAGGCTCACAGGCATGCCCAGGGAAGACGCTGGGCATATTTTGAAGTTACGTTACTGGGAGTCTCTTAACTTTTCACAGCCCTGGACAGATCTGTTGAGAGTAACAGTAGAAGGGACAAGACAACGTGTTCTTGTAGAACTTTAATTTGAAGAATTTGAGCCCCACAGCTCAAAAAGAGAAGCATCTGCTGTGCAGGGCTGTGGGTACCTTCCTTCCTCAGGCTGCTGGCAGTTCCTTAGCCTCAGGAGAAGGTGCCTCAGTGAGGAGTGTCCCTGACTGTTGTCCCTCTCCACAGAGTTGGTTCTGGCCACTACACAGCGTATGCAGCGCACGAGGGCCGCTGGTTCCACTTCAATGACAGTACTGTAACCCTGACTGACGAGGAGACTGTGGGCAAGGCCAAGGCCTACATCCTCTTCTATGTGGAGCGCCAAGCCAAGCCTGGAGCAGAGAAACTTTAATACCTCCTTTGCATTCTTATCAAGTCCACCGGACAAACATTTCCATTTTTCATAAATACTTGATCCAAGACTTACTAATTTCATTGTGCACTTTGCAATTTCCTCTTGTGGGTTTTTGTTTTGTTGTGTCAATGGTAGCATTTGACTTACTGAACTTGGACACAAACTAACTTTTTTTTTTAGTTATACCAGAAAACCTCAGCAGATTTTGATTTGCTGCTTTAGTTGTGATAACTCAATTTTTATATATATAGTTTCATGAAATAGTTATTTGACTTTTTTATATTGTTTTCAGTTCTCACTTTCTAAAGGCATATTTACATCAAAAAAACTGTCCTCCTTACAAGAAAGATAAATGTGCTTTTAATAATGAAAAGCAATACAACTTCATGCTGTTCTCAGTCCTATTATGTACATATGACTTAATCTCTTGAAATCAAGGAACTGTTTGCACATACTATTTTCCCTTGTGCAAGAAACTTAAACAGTGACCTCTGATCAATCATCCTTTATCTGCAGAAGAGAGGCAATATAACATCATTAAATACACCAGGTAATTGCTGCTATATTGGTGTGTATTCAGGCTCGTGACTTTCAGGAATCATTGTAAATAAACAGTTGGTTCAATTGTATCAAAACTGCAATTTAATTATAGTACTAGTCAGATACGCTGCCCCCTACCCCCTGCAAATTTAAACAATTATCTTTACCTGTCTAAATTATGTTGCCCTTTATGGTTTTATAACTGAACCTGAATTGCATTAGACATCTCTTGGTTTAGACTCTCATCCTGAAATTGGATCATGAACACTTATGTGCTTGAAAATTGGGGAGACTTTCTGCCAGTAGAATCCCAAGCAGAACCCCTTAGTTCCTAGTGGGAATTGGAAGTACAGCCCCAAGAGCTGGGGTTTGTGAAAACAGGTATAGGTCTAAATGCAGCTCTGCATGCAGGTCTGCTCCATGGCTACAGTTCACTTGGAAGCAGGAGGAGACAGATGGTGTTGCAGGTGCTTTGCATGAAATTGTTCTATCAGTTCAAATGCAAACTCAAGGAAGGATGCTCAGTCTCTCACAGCAGTGCCCTCACAGGGGAAGTGCTAAGCCAAGAGTGCTTGTGACTGGAACAGGTTCAGAGAGCTCCTGTGGCATTTACACACTGGCCCCAGGTGGCATTTTTGTTCAGTCTCTAGGTGAACACTGGAATCATGGTGCAGTTTCTAAAACCTGGCTACGTAATAAAGACTACGCTAAAAAAACCCAAACCAGTTTTAGCTTTACTGCTGATGAGTGGAAGTGAGCTACTGTGATGGGAAAGGCAGACAGGAAAACCATTACTGCCAGAGCCAGGAATGACAGAAGACATGAGATTTGAGAACTGCTGCATTTCAGATCTGCCCCCTCAGTCTCTCCTTTCTAGCTGGCTCTCTTGTACCAGGCAAAGAGCTGGACACTCCTGAAAGCTCAGTAAGAGGAAAATCCAGTTCATGGAGAGTCCCACCACCAAACAGCGGCTCTCAGTTCTGTTCACTAAAACTCCAGTTGGGAGTCCTGTTTTAGCTGATGCCCCCGAAGGACACAGCGGCAGGGCGGGGGGGGGTGTTGGAGTGCAGCCCAGAGCAGCCTGGGGCACAGGGAGTGCACAGCACTGCCTTGCCCTGGGGTCCTGCTGGCTGTTCACAGGCCAGGGTAAGGACAACTTGCAGTCAGGCATTTGGTACAGGGCCATTCTTGGGAGCTTCGTTACAGCATCTTAAACCAGGAAAGGGAGAAATTCGAGAAATCTAAAACTGCAGAAATCATTCAGTATAGCTAATCGCTTTTGAAGTATGCACACAGGTTAAGACTAGAGAGTTCTTTGATACAGTGACATATTTATAAGGATGTTGTCTTCTACTTAAGTCGAACAGTAACTAGAACTTGTCATTTCTTTAAGTTGTAGATAGTTTGTCACCTTCCCTTCCTTACAGGCAGTCTTTCCTCTAATCAACGAGAATAGGTTGCTGATACTGAAGACAAGCAGAAAACGCAGCAGGTAAAGCATTGTACCACATTCCTGCCATGCCTGCTGCTCACAGGGAGCTGTGCAGATGCCACCTCTAGCTGTGTTTTCTCTGCATGCTGCTTGGACCAGATTTCTTTAGAATTTACCTTTGAGAATGCCAAGCTTAAAATACACAATTATCTCGGCCAGCAGCAGTTTAACTTACAGTAGTCAGGTGTATGCAGTGTTCTTGCAAAACAGTGATGTAAATGTGCCTTTCTGTATTTTTAGAAATTTAAATTTGTAATGTTCAGCAACATTCACTTCTTTTAATCAACTTCTACTTGTCAGCAATTGTTTGGGTCAGAGTTATGTTCTGACTTGAGCATTTTCTTTCAGTCCCGTTTGCTGTGTCCCACGCATGTCCTGGGCACTGGTGTCTCCAGCAGGGCCATGTGGGGCCTGTCTGGGAAAGCGATGCAATCACAGCAGGCTGCCCTTGCAGCAGGTGCTGCTCAGGACTCAGCCATATGCTTTGCTGGAACAAGTACATTGTAAATCCTTTCCTAATTTAACTTTCTCCCACTGCAAACTCAGATGGACAGTATGAACAGTTTGTTGTGGCAACACAAGTATTTCTCTTCCTGGTGGAGAACTTTGCTTATCCACTGTATTCTATTCAGTGTGGTGTTGAAAAAAAAGAAAGTAACTGAGCACTGAACCAGTAACATAATACTGCACCTGGCCTAGTATTACCTTTTTAACCTAGCTTGTATAGCCTATATTTATCTACTCGCTTCTTGGGGGGGGGAATATCTCTTTCATTTAAGCCAAATGTTTTTTTTCTACTTACTGCTCATCGTAGTACACACTAGCTGGCAAGAAGTTTTTTTTCTTGCTTGAGACTGCTCTGCAAGTAGCAACTGCTCTCTACAGTTCAAAGACTTGCATTTTTTCCACCAAAATGTGTCCAATCAAAGGTTGTCCTTTCATTACTGATTGTTTAGCCACGTATACAACTGGAGCCAATATTTATGTCAATCAAAACTGCAAAATGTCTAGCTCCTAAATGTCAGCAAGAGAGTTTAAAAGTTTGAGATAGGAAGAGATAGTGGACTTGTATCAAAAACAGGAGGCCATTTATGAAGATTTTACTAAATCTTTGGGAAGTGTAACACATGGTGTTAAGAAGTTCCCCCAGCAATGTTTCATTACTGATGTGTCTGTGTCTTACTGATGAGGTAATGGGCACCTTGACAGCTGATTCCAATGTGCTTTAGGATATTCTCAAGTACTGTAGTGCCATAGTTGTAATTGTTTACCATTAAAATCTTGTGTGTAATTTTCAGTGAGGATTACTGACTGTGCTCATCTTGTGTGTTTCTGGAGCATTTCCAGGATGAATGTGAATTATATCTCATCATATAGTGTGTTTATGGAAAATGTGCCATTAAAGTGTCTCCTTTCCTTAGAAAATGAAACTTCTTGTCCTACAAGCTTGCAGAACATTAGTGTATATGCTCTGAACACAAATGGCAGAATACTGTACCTTGCTCTGGGAAAAACAAAATAAAGCAATTGCAGTGTTCCTAACTCTGTAACACTTCTACCAAACTTAGCACCTAACCTCAAAGAGGACCTGCCATTCCATTTTAAATGCCTTGCCACCCAACTGCTGTTAATTTTTATGTCAGATTGTGGTGTGCCCCCTCTGTCTGGCAAGAGTCCATCCTAACATCCTTGACATTCAACTTTGCTTGATTGTTGATTTGTTGGTTGTTGTTTTTTTTTTTTTTTGGGGGGGGGGGTAATTAGTATTTTTTTAAATAGCATTCCTGTATGTGTAACTCTGAGAAGTTTCAACTGTTTAAACCTGCTCAAAAACAAAGGTAAGTTCTTGAGATTTGAAAATGCTAATACGAGAATGAAGAACACCTGCAGGCACATCTTCTAAGCTGCTGTTTTCCAGTAAACTGCATTACCTGGTATGTGAAATCTTCTTGTTCCTTTTGTGGCATTGACCAGAGCTGTTATTGACAGGGGGAGGGGAAACAGCAATTTCCTTATCATTTCAAAGAAAATATTAAATTTCAAAGGATATAAAACCACGAAGACCGGCAATTGTTAAACACAACTTTGTCTATATAGTAGAAAGTTACTAACTAAAGAGTGAAGCAGAAAGAATTGCCATTTCTTTGTGTATGCCAGCTGTGTTCAGACACACACACTACTCAAGCTATGATTGTTGCAGACTACAAACAAAGTTCTGATCATGTTTTTCAGAGTTGAATTTTAAACTGCGTTCTTGGGGTGTGAAGGAGGAAGTAAAATTGAGTCCCACTCAACTTTGTCCTGTATTAAAACACTCCTAATTAAAATGGCATAAAGTCTCCCAGCTACTGTTTGTGTGCAGGCCACTTGAAAAACTCCTCCAGTGCTGTTTGCTGTAACTTCTTATGGATTTGTTGAATGTATTTATTCTCTGGTATTAACACCTGGCAGAAAGGGACTATAAAACACCTTAATCCCAAGCATTTTTGTTTCACAAGCTGGAAAGTTAAAGGGATGCTTAATGCTTTTAATTCCAACCTGCCCTCGCTGTAGCTTTATTTTTCTTCTAGGAAAAACTTTTTTCTGCTACGCTTTCTCCAGTTTCTGTACAACAGATACTTTTACCTGGAAAACCACTTTCTTATCTCCTTATTCCACCAAAGAGTGGAAAAAAGATTTCTGTGGTAACGGAACTAAACCTACAAAACCAGAACAGCTAAACTTGTGAAATTCAAGCCAACAGAAGGCATTAAAAGCACAAGCTCACAAGGAACTAAACATTGCCTCGCTGTTCCCATGTGTGGCTGCCTCTATGTCATTGCTTCCCTCCTGCAGAAGGTGGGGACACAGCTAGCTTTGTCTATAGAATCACAGCTCAGCCTCAAATAACTGGGCAGGAAACTGTCCGTACCTCTGGGGCTGGTGAACTGAACTGCAGCCCGTGTGTGTGCTTCAAGGCACCCAGAGAATGTTTCAGCTCCTAAGAAAGTGTTTATGAAAGTTCCATTATCCATGTAGCAGTTGTTGAACATGAACCAAACGTGCAACCTCAGAAAACTCAAACAACAAATAGAGAGGCAAGTATACTCTGCCAAACCAAAGTGCTGCTCAGCCAAATCTCCCGCATGGGAAACACCGACAAAGATACGCCTGGCAGCTGTAGCTGCAGTCCCACCCCACTCCAGGAACTCAGCACAAGAACTTTCCTAAATTCCAGTAGAGTCTACAAGGCCGGGGGGGGGAAATCCCTTTTAAGGAGGCATTTCATGACACTCAAGTTGTACATGGACAAAGGAGGCACAAGCTACTTACATGGTTCTGTTCCTTTCCTTGTTCTGAGCTTCTGCACCAGTTGTTTACCAAAAATAAACCCCATTCCACAACCATATATGTGCAACAGCCTGCTGGTGAGTGTGAACCCCACCCCCAGCACTGCTATTACTCCATCCAGCCAAGACACTCTGCCACTGCTGCTGGGCAATGCACATAACCCAGCTCAACCGGGAATGCTTTTTACATATCTTCTCTTTTCTGGACAAAAACAGTAGGAAAAATCTAGCAAAAACATGTCACAAGCTACTAGAAGTGTTTCAGGATCCTTTATTGTGGTCTTTGTTGAACTTTCATTCTCCAGTGGAGCTAAAGAAGGATAATTTTGTCCTGGGACCTGCTTTAAAACACTTATCCATCTGCTGGTATTCAGAGAGAGTCAAGATGTGTAACATTGAGGACTGGATGAAAAACAGTTTCCAGAAAGACTTCTGTAAGAGGCATGAGAACACTGTCAGTGATTTTTTACTAGACGTTTGCAACAGGTACGTTCTGTGGGTGTGAGTGTGCAGTAACTGCCTTGAGATGAGTGAAGTCAAGAGTTATTTCAAATACTCCATAACCCCTGCCTGAAATGGAGCATGAAGTAGGTGAGTGCTTTGCCTTTACAACTGTAGTGTTAGTTCATTTTACAGTGGCAATAGTGTATACGTCCTCTAGATTTCCCTTAAGTCTACATTTTCCTTCTTTTTATTCCTCTAGGAATTTGTTTTTAATATGCGGAAGTGCACTCCCGCCTCCCACACTGCTGCTCAGCTAAACTACATTCTGGCAGTGTCTGGGGGTGCCTGGAGCAGAGCCCTGATTTCAAACAGTGAACACGCCTCATTACAATCAAGTTCAATTAACACGTTACTAAGTGTCAGCTTTAGTTCAGTCTAAAGTTCTGAAGTTTAAACTCCTAGCTGCTTCTAAACTGCAGTGAGGGAAGAGAAATGCCACCACAGAAAAGCAGCTCTGGGTGCACAGCTTTTCCTTCACAGCTCTGCTGCTGTGAGACAGCTCTGAGGAAGGAGCAGAGCAGGGACAGGAGGAGGCTCATGGAGCAGAGCCAGTCCCACTGGGGGTGGGTAACAGCAGGGCTGGCTTGGTCCCAAAGCAGAGCCAAGGGGCCGTGGCAGTGACTCCCTGATATGGTGCACCTCTGTCACAGCCCTCAGCTTTGGAAAACAACTGAAAAAATTATGGGATAGTGACAGGAGAGAGCCAGCAACAGCGCAATCTCAAAACAAGGACTGAAAAGCAGCTTCAAAACAGATTAAATTGCAAGTACCAGCTTTCTGAAGTAAATGTTCTAGAACAGTTGATAAAAATCTGGATTAATTAAGGAGGAATGGGCATACCTGTGCCTAGAAAGGATAATAGAAGGTCCTACTTATTTTTGCTGCAACCCACTGAAAGCATTCCAGTAAATTCCTAGCACTGTGTACAAAGAAAAATGCAAATTAAATATCCAGCTTTTCTTCCTGTGTTTAAAGTAGTTTTATTCTGTTAGAGCCTTTGTTGACTGCTGCCACCTTTTTCCTGAAATTGCTCCTAAGAGAAAAGAGTTAAAAGAAAAAAAAAAATCTGTCTAGAGGTCTCACAAGAGCAACATTAACACAGACCTGTGTGTGATGCTCTGTTTAGCTAGGTGCATGCTGGATTGCTACTGCCTGAAGAGGGGGCTGGGCCAGGAGCCAGACATGGCACATGTTTGCAGGCTGCTGTACAGGCTCTGCTCAGCACAGCAGCTGCTCCAGGAGAGCTCCTGCACAGCATCAACACCCCACTGGGGACAGGCCTTTCCTGTACTTCCCCAGGCCTACTCAAACAGCAAGAAAAAGCTTTTTTCATTTGCTGCATCATCGTTTATAACAACAGTTACAGTTTCAGTGACTCAATGGAAAGTTTAAGAGCTGAGTGGGATTTGAACATCAACTCTTTAGGAAGCAGCTGGCACCTCTTCAGTAAATCCAAGGAGATTAAATGTATCTGTAATTCCTAAAAATAAAGAGTGGGAGTGCCTTACTTGCTCATGCTCAGATGCCTGCACAGCAGTCTTCTCTCAGTTGTCCTCCACTTCATCCTGAAATTAATCTCCTGTCTGCTGGCTCTCCACTGTCTGTGCCCAGAGAAGCACAGCACCATCCAACTCCTTAAGAAAAAATGATGCAGCCACAGCTTAAACAGGCCACTGTGCCAGCTGAGCTAAAGATGTTGCTACCGAAACAAAAAGCAAAGGAAGTAAGCTTTGCCTTTAGTTAAGCTGAACATTAAGATCTACATGTGCACTCACCTAGTTGTGCCTCCTTGCCCCTCCTGATGAAGAGGAGGCATTTTTCCAGCCTTCGTATTTATTCTTGATGCTATTTGCTTCTGCAAGCTCTGTGATTTATTTCTCCCATCTCACCTGTCACCATCCTGCTTTCAGATGTCCAAATCTGCTGTCTGTGACCCTCTCTGGATGTGGCCATGTTACAGATGACTGCATTTTGCAGCTTCTCAAGAACTGCCCAAACCTGAAGAGCCTCAAACTGGAGAACTGTGTGCAGATCACTGACCACACCCTGCAGGCAGTGACCCTCCATGGAGCATCACTGCAAACGCTCCATGTGGATTTCTGCCGCAATGTAACACAAGCTGGGCTCCAGAGAGTCAGGGAAAAGTGTCCTTCAGTAATGCTGAGAGCAGAGAGAAGTGCTAACATGATCCCAGACAGTAAGCCAGGAAAAAAGCTGATGCTTGAAAAAGCATCAAGAAAATTGGTTCAGCTTTAAAGAGTAGGTATTTTACCTCACTGAGGTAGCAATGAACTGTCACTACTTCCATGGGCTCTGATCAAGTCCAAACAAACAGTTGTTTTGTAATGGTTAAAGACATGCATCTCCTCCTGAATGGGCTTCAGGAAATAACTGTTTGCTCTCTGTTTTTCCTTGAAACTGGGAAACCCTGCATTGCTGTCACAAAATACCAGATCTGCTGAAAACTGCAGTTCTGGTACCCTCGTGCTGCAGATGCCCTCACTCAGGAGGGAAGCAGCAGTGTGTTTATTGAGGCCAAATAATTTGATAGAGTTCAATAAATTTTATGAACTTTTAAGAAAGTTTAACAGTAGTTTGACATGGTGCAGTAAGTTTGATGGCAAGGTTCACTGCCTGCATGGAAGAAACACAGAGTGAACTGAGCCAGAATGAGTCACAGAAGGGCCTGAGAATACAAACCTTGAGGAAGAGCCTCCCACTGGGTCATGAGTTCAGACTGGACTCTGCACTTTCAAAACTCCTTAGGTGATGGGCAAGGTCATAAAGCCACAGCAGAGAGCCTGAATCACTGGAGGATTTTCACAAATTTCAGGACAAGAGTGATTTACAAACTTCTGTTAAAGTGTATTACCAGACAGTCATTCCATCCACTAAGAAGGATAACCACTCCCTGAAATATCTTTCTAGCAAAAGCAGAGTACTGATCACCAGCACATCCTCAGTGATTAACAGCAGCAGCTAATTTACCAGGCTTTTTCATTTAATGAGAGAAGCATGGATTCAAGGCACACAAAACACAGTTTGACCCTCTGCATGATGTACTTACATAATAAAATATGCACTAAGTTATTTTTTAAAGCTGACATTAAAGGAAGTGCAATCTGAACAAGTGCTAGTTCAGAGAACTAACCCACAAGAAAAGACAGTGACTAACAGCCTGTCTTTAATCCTAACTAGGAAGACAGTACAGACCAGCTGTATACAAATACCCATTTCTCACTGCAAAGTACAAAACCAGTAGCTATTTGCATCCCAAAGTTGTCCCCTTCCTGCACACTGCTCTGCTACCTGGAAGTGAAACTTTTTTTTTACATACTTTTGATGCTATGCCACCATCTACAAAGTTTGACACCAAAGAGGACTTTACAGCTCTCAACATAACTGAATATACTTACTTTGCCTTCTGATCCTGGTTAATTGATCCACAGATATACTTGGTACTCTCTAATTTGGCTGAGGTAACAAATAAATCACATCATTACAGCAACTTAGTCAAACAATACTGCAATTCTAGAGAAATACTTGATCAGTATGAGCATCTGTAAAAAACACTCACCAGAAAACTGATGGGGAAAATAAATTATTCCATCTTCATGGAGATATTTAACAGCATGACACCGTAAAAGTGGCATTTCATTAACTCCTTCCTAAGGTTTAAGGAGGGCCCTTATACACCACAAGGTAAGGAAGAAAAACATGTGTGGATAAGGAGACACAGCCATCCTCACCCAGGACTGACAGCTACAAAAGGACATTGCTGAGCTGAACAAATTTACTGTGATTTAGAAATTGGGAAGCTGACACAACTTGTACCTTGGATACACTGCAACAGTTCAACACACTGCTGGCAAGCCAAAACAAGGCATGAACTTACACAGCCACTGCAGCAAGCAACGAACCTTCTTGTGCCACTAGCTCTCCCAGCACTCTGTGGTGAAAGACATGTCTGTAGTTGTAACAGGAAAGGATTTTCAAAGAGCTACAAGACATGAAAGCACATTTGCATCTGTCTACATATTACTTAAGCCTTTTTGCCAGTTTTCTACAAGGACTGGGGGGGGGGGGGGGGGGGAGGGGGGGCGCCCAGCAATATCTGCCAACAATTCTTGCCTGACCCAGTATTTTGCATGTTAAATTCTTGATTTTCTCTATTGAGAAATCTCATTATCATTAGCTCTAATGTCTATTATTTAATATATTTTTTGTTGTTGTTTGTGGGGCTTTTTTTGTGGTTTTTTTTTTTTTTCTTGTTTGTTTGGGGGGGGGGGGGGGGGGGGGGGGGGCAGGGGTAGGAGGGGCATGGCATTCTGTGGGGTTTGTGGTTTGTTTTGTTTTATAATTTTCTTTTATAGAGCTAGTTCTTCAAACACTATCCACTTGATTTCTTTGCCTATTTGTTTAACAATGCTCTAACTTACTACTTTGTTCTTCCCCTCCTTGAATGGGATATTTGTTCATGACATGGTAAAATCTGAACACCAGTGTATTGATACATTTTTTTCAGCATCAATAATGAATTTTCTTACTTCACATTCCAATTTGAAAATGGAGTATAGAAAATGACAACATTTTACTTAGTGTATTGTGGAAGGATGGAAACATGTCTACAGTTTTCTTTAGTTCCATCAAGCCATTAAAGTTCCATCAAGCACAAACCTTTAATCAACATTCCCTGTGCTTTTACTGTTAAATGCCTCCAAAAAGATCTTCATTATCCAGAAAGCTAAAGTCCACATAAGACTGCCATTTTTAGGCACAGTTCTATTACTTCCTGTGCTGATTGGAACAGGCTGACAAATCAGTGCCACTAAGACACATCCATGAGGTGTAGAAGGCAATAATACAGGACTTAATACAGCAGTTTCCCCATTTATTTATTAAACTTACACATTTAGGCCAAGATGTGACTACACATCCTCACAACACACCGATGAGACACCAACATCTCAGTCCAATTTGAAACCTAACACACAATAAGGCAGGAAACCAAGCCTGCATGATTTCAGAGCCGTGAGACCCTCCTTCCCCCAACTCCTGATCTCCCTCAAATGTTTCACTCTGCAGTGGTCTTTGATCATAGCTAGGCTTTTGCCTTTTTCAAGAGCCACCATACAGTCCTGAGAGAACTTCACCACATAAAACCCAGATATGCAAATTTTTACAGCTTACCAAGCCCTCCCTCTGAGCACTGGCAGCAACACAGCAGCTCAGTCTTGGACAACCAGGAAATTTCCCAATCAATCCTTGTTAATGTACAACAGACACATGAGAGAAAGTAACAGGAATTTCTACCCTACACTCCACACTCAGATGGACCAGTCTTGCCCCAGGTGAGATGACACTAATAAACATTTTCACCAGCCCTTAGTTCCCACAGCATCTTCCCAAGGAGTTGAGGGATGAAGAAATGGAGCAGAGCAGAAATAGGAACAGAGCAGCTCTGACTCACCTAGGGACTGCCTCTCCCCTTTTCCCTCCCCAGGTACATCCTGCTCTGAACACCAAGCAATGTTTGTAGCTTAACATCACTGATGTCTTTCATAGAGACAATGGGCAATTCCCTATTGTCCAGCACTTTCCTAAGGCACAGAGCAGAGATCTCCTTGTGCACTACACTGCTGTCCTAACCTCACGGGAACAGCAATCACTGTGTAAGTCAAACCATGCTGATCACAATAGTTACAGCTGAGACAAAAATGAGACCAAAGGCAGAACTAAAAATGTGAATAAAATCCACAACCTTGACTACTACCCTGTCCCTTCCATTTTAATTTTTGTGTACTCGGAGCAGGAATCAACTACATCAATGTGTGTATTAAAAAATATTATTGTTTGGCTCAAAATATTTAAAGTTTTCTGAATCAAGGTGGCAGCATGCTGTTACTGTCAACAATTATTATGGAGGAGCAAAATGTTTAAACAAAAAGCAAGAAGGAACTAAGCACAGCATGAACTTGAATTCCAGCAGGAGGAATGTACAGCAGTACACCCAACCAGCCAGGGCCTCAGGCCAGGAGAAGGCAGAGCACAGTCCAGCAGGCTAAACATTTTAAGATGCTTCAAAGGTCACACCCTGTCTCAACACTGTAAGACTATAATTTCCTGAGGCAAAAAATAAAAGTATGAACCCTGAGTAAACCAAACACAGTTCACAAATGCATACAAGCAACTGAGTCTTGAATTTGCTTTATTTTTCTCTGCAGAAGAAACCCTGCACAGGCAATTCAAATTAAAACAAAATAAATATGTGAATATTCATGTAAAACTGTTCTGGCTAATGAACAATTATACACAATGTACAACTCTTCATGTTCACTGAGAGGGCTTACAAATGTACTATTCCCAACAAAAATACACCAAAATGTCTCCATGCAAACTTATCAAAAGTGACCAAAAAAGGAGAAAAAACTCACTGATCATACTTTTTTGTTTTGTTTTTCCTTTTTTCTTTTTTACAATCACAAAAAAATAAAAACATCTAATTTTTTGTTACATTTAGAGTAACTAAAGTGTGGCCACCATCTATTAATATCTGGTTTTATGCTCCTAAAACATCTATGGTTACTGTAAAATTATGTCAACGATGAATTTGACTTAGGGCACTATTTGTAGTAAAAGGAAGATGACTTTGTTCACAGAATATTAATAATCTGTGTCTGAGCCCTCTGCATTGTCCACATTCCGGGAGAGCATGTAATTGTCCATGTCTATAGACCTGCAATTATTGATTGCATAGCGCAAACGCTCTGCCATGATTACTTGACTGGAGTAAGGTGGGAGCCTCAGTTGAAAGAAACAAGTCTGTGAGGTAGGCAAGCTGTCGTATGGCTGTGGAAATGGATAAAAGGTAGGACACTGGTAAGTTGTGAATGAAGTTAAAAATGCAACAATATCCACATTGCATTGCTCCTTGCCTCTACCATTTTCACATTCTATCTCAAATTTCTTTTAAGAAGCAGAGTGATCTCCCTTGTTTACAGCATTTGTTCCAACCCTAAGTATGTCCAAAACCACTGTAGTACCTACTCTGCAAGTAACACAACCCACCACTGAATTCAGCCTTTTGAAAAGTTGATCACACTACTGTTTAGAAGCCCACTGCTAGATACCAAACAATGAAATTACATACCATAGCATGCCTTAGAATAAGGCAATCTGAGAGACACCTAACCAAATATGACAAACCCCTGTTAGCTGAGATTTTGTCAAGTCTTTTGTTCATGTTGTTCACAGAGAATGTGCTTTCACTGCACAAAACCCAAAATGAATGCACCCTGTATGTAAAACTATACACTGTAAACTCATTGCAGTGGTTTTAAAACATTAAGAGCTCACTAGTGATATGCTGCCACTTACACAAAATTAAAAACAGAAAGAAAACTACTAGATGAAAAGAGATTGGAACAGTTACAGAAGACAAAGGTTTGTTTCTTGTCTTTATCTCCAATCACCAGTTGCACCAATTAAATTAAGATGCAATTCATGCAGCCTGTGTCCTTCTACACAACCAGAATGTCTGAGTTTATTAACTTAGAGCATATCCCATCCCATACTTTTTCTGTAAATTTACAGTTATGAAAATTGTCTCCTAGTGCCAAAGCACAGACTATACTTGAGAGGAGAAAAAAACAACAAAAAAAAAACCAACCCCACCATAATAATTATATATTGATGATATATAATAATAATATACTATATGATAATTATATAATATATAATCATATTCTTACAATAATAATAGTAATAATAATAGTAGTAATAATAGTAATAATGCCAGTGTCTTACCCTATCAACCTTCATTATTTGGAATCGCTGAGAGATATCAGCTGTGTTGGCTGGCAGTCGAGATCTTCCTGACACAAACCTCATGAAAAGGACTCTCTCCTCATTTGAAAATTCTTCCAGGGTGTGCCAGAACCACTGCACCAGCTGATGCTGCTCATCAACTTCTCTGTATCGCACAACCTTCTTCAGAACCTCAACTGATATTTCTGGCATTCCACAGACCATCTGCTCCAACTGCTTGGCAGTCAGAAGGGACAGCAAAGGGACGGGAACAATCCAAGACATTCCTTCCCTGACAGCAGCCACCTAACGGCCAAAAACAGGAGAGACGTTTGAAGTCTGATCTCTGCCACTTCCTGGACTATCCAAACACAAAGTAACTTCTCAGCTGAGAAATGGCAATGACAGAATTACCAATGTCTTCCAAATACAGCTCCCACATACGCAGCCCCTGCAAGGGCTGTATTGTTTCTCAAAATCCTAAAGAATATCACAGATATTTTTAATTGTAATTGCACATTAAAGAACGTGTTCTGATCCAACACAGAACTATTTAAAGAAATTACAAGTTGACAGCATAAATAATGATGGCTAAACCAAGCAACTGTGTAAATAGAAAAAAGACTTTGTTATGTATGGTGAGAATGCTGTACTTGTTTTGCAAGACTTGAGATTTGGTACCTCTGATGAGGAAACTGTTTTCTAAGGCAGATAGTATCAGACAGGCATCTTTAGCTTATAACTAGAATGCTGCTTTCACAAGCAAATGACAAAGTACACAGAACTATGCAATAGGTAATGAGCACTTCCCAAAACATACCGTGAAATATTTGCAGGATTTGTGTTATAACAAAAGATAAATAGTTTCAAGCTAAACAAATGTTTGTCAATAATATTTAGTTTAGCCAGTCCCTGTGTTGTTCACATGTCCAGTTAGACTACCCAGCATGCAAAACTGCAGGTTTTTTTCTCAAGTGGACCAAAAAAGGAGATAGAGACAATGGGCAGAGACAATTCTTCTTCAAATGGAAGACCAGCTCTGATTTCTAACGCTCTCTTGCCAACTGAGCAACTACAGAAAAAAATAAGACTAAATTTAAAAAAAAAAGGCCAAAACAGATTGTGGGGAAGAAAAAATACAGAGACCCAAAAATACGCAGAAAGCCAAGCTTTTCTTATCACTGAATAAACTGTAATAGAAATAGGCACAAATTACCCCCTGTTCCCACTAACAACAGGGGCAAGGCACAATGAGGTTCTTACCTGTCGGTCCAT